AGCCAATAAAAAGTCTTGAATTGCATTATCCAATGATCTAGTTTTTAATAATCATTATTATTAAAAACTGGATCATTGGATAATGCAATTCAAGACTTTTTATTGGCTCAGCCATCATGGTATATGAGCCAATATACCATAATCTAATTTCTGTACATTGTTAAATGCGGTTTCTTCTCACAAAATAAAGTCGAGAAGATTTGTGTAAAAGTTAAGGGGCGTTTTTTCTAATAAAACAATTATTCCACTTGCGTTTGTTGGATATGAGATGATTATAGCCAACTCGGCGCTACGCGCCTCGTTGGCTATCTATCATCTCATATCCAACGCGTACTCATGGAATAATTGTTAAATAAGCAAACTGTGTAAGTTAGATAATGGGACCATGGCTGACCATACTACTTGAACTATTCTGATGGAACTTAAGTCCATGGACTGGCCACCAAAATCAATAACCTTAATTAATATAGTTCAAACTAAAACAAAGGACAGGGTTGAAAGTACACTCTGATTGACTTTTCAAACTCAGAATGACCTTTTCTACCGGAAAATATTACATATTAATTGCTGGAATAAGTGAGTGAAAATCATCCTCTTGTGCTATGTATTACATAATCTCACTATCAGAGTAGATACTGAAAGAACTATTCCGTCTTCAGTGTCTGTTGGCTAGCAGTGGAAATTTACCTCACCGCTTTGTGGCTGGGTAAATATCTGCCACCATGCAGCCACTTTCACTTTGGTGAATAGTTGTTAATTAATTGACTAAAAGGAGTGGACCAGAATTAACAAAAAGCCGTATTTACAAGCATGGGAAATTTGTAACAGTACTTTGATGTTGATAAAGTCTGTGGCATTCCTCAGTTAGCAGGGAAACATTGGGAGAGGAAGGAGATTGAACAGTGTGTGATTGCAGATAGCCAATTTTTTTTTTCAGATTTCATTGTAACTGCCACCATGATATCTGTAGTGGATTGTAGCGCTGATATGCAATTGTAATGTATTTCTTAAACCAATGATTCTGTATTTCATAGTTGTTACAGGTGCATCGGAAGGTATAGGCAGAGCATTTGCATGTGAGGTAATGATATCATTAGTTGTGACATTTGAAATAATGTTATGGTGTTCAATTCAATATCCCTTATGTTTATGGTTTGAATTTAATATTATAGTAGACACTTTAAACTCTCGCTAAGTGACCTCTCCACTCAGGCAGGTGTGGCAGTGTAGGTAAACTATTTGTATATCACTTTGGGTTAATCTTTAATACTCAGCTTAGCTGCAGTGTGTGAAGGGGGGGGGGTGTATTCAGTAAAATCCCGTGACCTTCAATGGGTCAGGAGGAAAAGTGAAGACTGGCTTTTTATCTTGGAGGAGGGGGGAGGGAGGGAATGAAATGGAGGAATACAGCCAGAAAATGGTCTAAAAAACAAATTGTGGCATTGTGGTTTACTAACGGTTTGTGAGTAGACTTCAACTTGAATCGCCACTTCTACTTATACCTAAAAAATTGCTGAACTGTGAGAAATGTGTGCAGATATTTTCTTTACAAGACAGTTGGCACGATGTGGAATGAACATTGTTCTGATGAGTCGATCTACCCAAAAATTGGAAAAGGTTGCAGAGACCATAGGTTAGTGAAAAAAAGATGTTTAAACATTTTTTCTTGCAAGGTTGTAAATAAATAGTAAGAGGTTTTTTATTGAAAAAGGAAGTTGTTAATACATTTACTGGAATATTTTACTTTTGAATTTCTCTTGTGTGGTTTTTCATACTCAGTTACCCTGATTTCTGAAAATCCATTGTTGTTTGAGCAGTACCATTAATCAGAGGGTATTCAAGTGGGGACTGAGAATGGGTGGAGAAGAAAAGTGTTAACTATTACTTTACATCATTGATTAGAATAACTTTGAACACATGCAGGAATTTCAGGAAGTATTTTCAAGAGGTACAGTGGAATCCCGATTTCTCGAACCTCCAGGGGAAAAGCAAATTGGTTTGAGAAATCGGGGGTGAAATTACAAGTGAGGCAAATCCAAGGGAAACAAGGTTTGGTTCCAGATATCGGGAGGTTCGAGAAACCAAGGGTTCGAGAGATCGGGATTCCACTGTATTAACTTTTCAATTATTTGTAACCTAATATGATTAACCTAACTTATAATTCTTGTAATATAGAAAAAGAATCCAAGGTTGAGACGCTTATCATTCCAATAGACTTTGCCACACAGGATGTTTACCAGAAAATAATCGCTTCCCTAGAAGGGCTTGACATTGGCATTTTAGGTGAGTTAAATGATAATTATTTCAAAGAAATACCTAGTGTTATTGAACTTTAGAGATCAAGGAATAACTAAAGACAAGGTAAAGGCTGTTTACAAGCTAAGTGGCTCACCAGGCCAGCGCTTAACTCCAGTTTCCGTAGCATGAACCAACTAGGAGTAATTTTACTCTCCCCTGATTGCTGGATGCCGGTCTATTGCTGAGTTACCTCCAGCATATTAAATTTGCTGGTACCTATTTAAAGAGGGGCACTGTGACAGTAAAGTGTCTTTGCCTAAGAACACAACTCAGTGTTCCTGCCCAGGGGGTTGAACCCATGCAGTGAGAACACTCAGTTGAGAGTCAAGTGCACTTAACCATGAGGCCATTAGGCCTCCATTAAGGTATGTGATTTCTTTGGTGCATAAAGGTGATTATCATAACATATGAATGTAACAAACAATGGACTTCATGACCCAGATGGTACAATTTATATGTCCTCCTTTGACAGGCACATGATTGATCTGTGCCTGCAATCTTTCACCGTACTGTCTTGGTGCAGTTGAACTTGGGGACGGGTCATGATTCTTAGCATCTGCATATTATTAAAAACAATTTTTTTTTGTTATTCTGAAGATCGAGCCTCAGCATATTAAAATCATGCCATTTCTTTTGCTTAACCTCTGACCTTCTTTTCATTTTTTCTTGTTTTTTAAATCTAGTGAATAATGTTGGTGTAATGTATGAATATCCACAATACTTTCTAGATGTTCCCAAACAGGTACAGTTTAATGCTCCTTGTCTTCTTTTAAAATGTCAGGCTCAGTATGCATCTTAACACTTAGTAAAACAAGGAAGTACATCTTGATTAGACTTCATTATCTTTTCCCATTTCTGTCTTTCTTCTACTGTTTTATTCGCCCTATATCTGATGAAATAACATCCTAGGTATAGGCAATAAGCCTTTACTTGTATTTATTGCCAATTACTCTTGTTAATAGCCTTTCTCCCGTATGAGTCTAAATGGGATTTGATGTGTTGGTGAAGTGTGCATGGAGGGGAGACAGAGGGGTTTTTAACTTGCAATGAGGTAACAAACCTTTTTAGGATGAGTAGCTGCAATATTTTTCATGTATAAATTGGCTTTATACCACAGAATTCTGGGTTATAAGTTGAGCAGAACTGAACTACAGACTGTACAGTTAGCCATTTGGGTTTGTGCAGGATAAGTAAGCTGCATACTGACACAAGTATAACCATCATGGTGGACCCAAGCCATAGGGGGTTTGGTAAACTTCAACAAAGTAACATGTATCACAGTGGCATGTTAGCCAGTTTTTTTTTTTAACACTGAATAAATAGACCACAAACATTTTTTATCCTCTCTTTAAAATGGCAGAAACTTTTTGACCTGATAAATATCAACATGACTTCAGTGATAATGGTAAGTGGTAGTTTTAAGTGATAGATGGTGAGTTTCTAGCAATTTGAAGGCCTCAAATTTACACTGTAGAAACCTAGCTTGTCTTGGCTTCATGATGGCTTAAATAGGCACTTTTAATACGTTTGAGATTTTATGACTAGTCTACCTTGAGAAAGTGAGTTTGTAGTCTTCCATTATTTTAGTTGGATATGTCCCTGCTATAGCGTAGAGGTAATTAAATTTCTACCTTAGTCCAGTCTGCCTTTTATCCATATTGTTAATCCCTTGAAAGCCCTGTACAGTTCTCTCCTAACCCAGTTGCATCTTCAAAACAAGATAAACTCAGATGAACAGGGTTCTCAGGAATACCAATGAAGAAGCTAATTATTTTCCTTTCTTGGAACAACGTGTGATAATGACAGGATTTCTCTGCATGCTTTTACACCAGCTCAAGCTATTACTATTAGTAGTAACCTTTAGAGTTTCATTTTCAGATGACACGTATTGTTTTACCCCAAATGTGTGAAAGGTAGGTTCAAAGTACTTCTGCTTACATCCTTGCCTTTGGTGTGAAGAGAGCATAGGTATGAATGACCAATTGAAAAATATGGCGGGAATTTTCAATCTAGTTTAAACTGTTCTTTACGTATCGGTGCTTAATGTTAGCTCCCTGACCCCTGGAAGTGACTAACATTTAATTTCTCCTTACAATATCATCCCTGAATCACACATTAAGCTTACGAGAATGAAGGAAATGATCACTAATATAAAGAAGCTCTTGATTGTTAAAAAATTTCTCTGTAGCACCTGAGGAAATGTATAGAGAAGAGTAAGAAGAATATTATTTTACTGATGTTAAAGTGTTAAGGGTAAAATCAGTACTCTTGCTATTCAATGTTTCATAGTTAACCATGTCGTGACAATTTTCAGGAAGCGGGGCGCAATTATTAACATGTCGTCCAGTGCAGGAGAGCTGCCTACACCCCAGATGACAGTTTATGCTGCAACAAAGGTCAGCCATCATTATATCCTCGTAGGTTTGGCACTAACAGAAAAATGAGGGAAATTAGCGCTAGGTGTGATGGGAATTTTCTCTTTTCATGCCTTCTGCACCCATTCTTTGTGGTTTGTTCGTTGTTGCTGTTTTTTGGTTCTGTTTGGTATAGATGTCTGTTTTTAGTTTGCACTTTTCTCTTTGTTTTTCTTCCATCTTTATTATTTGTTTGTTTGTTTGTACTAGATAAGAGTCTTGAATTGTCTTGTTACGTTATGCGGCTGAAAGCCTTCAGTACTGTTGTTTATTTTAGCCGGTAAAGCATCGTGCGCGGCAACACCAGTATTTTTGAAAAACAATTCAATTTTCTCGGCAACAATCTCTGTTTTCAGTCACTGAAGCGAAGTCTTTCTCACGAAAGGGAGAACGCTTTTTCAATCTTCTATTTAAAACACAAAAGATATGTTTTCCAATTACTCGCGCACTTGACGTACTCAATTCTTTTTGTTTTTCTGTTTGTTTGTTATTGTTGCAAACAGGAATTTGTGGACAGTTTTTCCCGTGCTCTTGCCTACGAGTATTCCCCACAAGGGATTGAAGTACAGGTGTGATGCGACTTGTTTTATATTCAAGCAATAGAAGACTGTGTAATCAGTAGAGAGGTTGATAGGGTTTGAGACAGTGAAAAGAGCGAGACTTTGAATGACTTTCGAAAATTCTCCCAAGCTATAGGAAAAAGTCTCCGACTGCTTTTTTTTTCCCGAATGTAAGAAGTCAACCATCTTTATACGACTCAATGAAACACACGTAAGGATCAATGATAGCACCCATAACAGCACGGTAATTGAAGAACAAAAATGGAGATTTTGTACTCAACATCAATCAGTTTTAAAAAACGTTTGCTTTCAATGACAAATGCAGTGTTTTTAAATTAATAGGCTTATATCTAATACTTAATATTAAGCTTTTTGAATCATTTGATTCTCACTGATGATTGATATACATGCAACTTCTTACAACATCTGCATTTTCTAGCCAACAGTTGACAATCGATGAATTTATCAGCTACAATCTGATATCCTTAGTCAGCAAATCCTCTTGCTAAATTAGGAACGAACTGTATTGCACACGGGTTTCATTAAAACAAGAATAGAAAAACAATATATGTATATTTATTACACGACTCGGGCAGTCAGAGGGCCAATAACTAAAATCAACGAATCAAAATGCTCTATTGCCGGTCAATATTCTCTCAATATTGTTTAATAATATATACATATATATATATATATATATATATGTATATGTATATATTTATTACACATAACACGAGAATTTTATTCCATAAAGCTCATTAGTAGAGATCTAT